CTCTTCATAGATACAACCATTCTCAACATTACATTGGTTATCTTCATGATTTTTTTTAATGATATTATAAAATTCTACATGCTAGATCATTTCCATCAAGATATTCGACATTAACACATTGAATTCGATGTAATTGTCGGCTAGCAATCATAGCAATAAATGGCAATCAACAGGAGAATCAAAATAAAACATACAAAACCCTTTTTCGAATTGGAGTACTCACGGCAGTGTAATTTTTAATGTTTAATACGCATATATATCTATAGATTCGATAAGATAACAACCACATTGGATTCAATCTTATACAAACAAAAAGCACTTTTTTTTCAATAAAAATCAGTGAGCTTCTGATGACATTTACTTGTTAAAAAATATTACACTGAAAGAATGAAATTAAAAGTCAAAGATAGAAATCCTGTAATACGTTATTAGCTTGTGAGAAAAATCATTTCATGTCCTTTCTCGTTAATTTATTACATGTATTGAAAAAAATCAAATGCATATTACCATACACACATCTCAAATTTTTTATCGCTTTTTTTTCTTACAATAATCACTGTTGAATATAATAGAGAAATACAAAAGAAGTTCATTTATTTTTTCCACCTTTTAATGCTGTATTTTCATCACGAATTTTTTTGTATTCACCAATTAATGTTTCTAAATTTGTAGTCATATTTTTTTGTGATTCGACTTCAATCTAAACAATTGAAAATAAATTTATTAAATTATTTACATGAGAAGAGATCTAAACGAATTATTTACTTGATCTTCTAATTCTCGAATTTCTCGTATAATAACGCCAATCTCTTCGACAATTTTATAAATAGCATCACAATCAGAATGAAAAGCAACTAACATTTTATATGAACGTCGAGCGCATTCATCTGTTTTAGCATCCTATAGAAAAAAGAAATGTTTTCATTTATTATTATTTTTTTATTCAAAAGCATACAATAAATAAAGATAATTACTTTAAATAGTTGACTATCAGTTACTTGAAATGTTCGTTCAAGTTTTTCTGTAAGTCGGTTTAAATTTTTTTGTAAAACACGTGTTTCAATAATAGTTTTATTTATTTCTTCTTTTTGTTTATTTGTATTAGTAACAATTTCAAGTATTTGTTTTGTAAAAAATGATCTTGAATGATCATTTTTAGATATTGATGCTTGATGTGTTTCATAATCATGTTGAAGACGAACTAAGTGTTCATCTTTTTCTTTTATATCACTTAGTAATAAACGTCCTTTAGCTTTCATATCATTAATTTCTGATAGTTTATCATTATATTTTGTTAAACGATCATTAAGTGCTTGAAGAAGATTATCACGTTGTTCAATAAGACTTGAACGAACATCAGTCCATTGAGTTTCAAGTGTAATTAATTTATTTTTTAATTTATCAATAGCATTCTATAAAGAGAAAAGAATTTTAATATATATAAGAAACAAAGCAAATTTATTGTTTACAGCTGAGTAACGACAAGTTTCTTTTTGATATATTATCTAAAATGTCTCATGAAAAGCAGTTGTTCGCGATTGTATTGTAATTTTGAGATACATGAGAAAAACGAACTGAGCCGCTTAACTCACGAGACAAGTTTCCTAGACTAATTAATTGCTTTGAAGTATGGACTATAAACGTCATGTAGATCACTTTTCAAATGACTGCTATGGTCTTTCTTAGAAATACAAGAGAAACTCATTGTCAATTTTTGATTGTAAATTTCTCATAGAGATAGATCTTAATGAGTATAATTTATTATGAAAATTTTTAGTTTTTTGATTTGCTTCTTATCTGATATAAGAATATCAAATCTGCCACTAAATATGAGCAGCATAAAAGAGAAGCTTTTCTCGTAGTTATATCTTAGGACTAGAACAACGAAAATATCTAAAACTTTCATAATATAGATTTGTCCTTGAAATTAGTGCCTATGACAAGTTTCAAGTCGAAATTGGACAATGAGCTTTCTTAGTGGTTCTGAGATGATCACGGCATTGGCTTAAAAAATACCGTAAAAATACAGTATCTCGGCAGTAATAAGCTAAGAATTAGAATTGTTTTCAGGATGTCCATTGTCTGTTATAGGTTCACATGATGCACATAGTCTCGAGTCAAAAACGAATAAAAATAGTTGGGCAACTCCTCATATCAACCAAATAAGATAAAAATACTTAGAATCCCAACAGCCAAGGTTATATTAAGCGTAAGTTTCAAGTGCAGAAAATCTAGAAAAGCATCTAAAGGTTCTAGAGTTTCGAATGTATCTGAAAGATTTCTGTTGAAAGTTATACTACCATGTCAATGAAGCAGATCATTCAACTGCTGATATGTTTGAACACATTACCAACATAATAACTATCAAAATAATACTTCTTTTCGATCCTAAGTACGAGTATATATTTAATAGTCAAACTCTGAAATAAAACGGCAGTTTTCGTTACCTGTAAACGTTCCGTTTCCGGATCAACTGATAATAAATAAGCAGCTGCTTGTTTCTTCACTGTCATATCTTTATTTATATTATCAATTTCTGTTTTTGTTTCATCGGAAAATCTTTCATACTAAATTAAATCAAAAATTAAAATATTATCTTATGTATATATATATATTGACTTACCTTTTTAATACTTTCTTCTAATTTTTGTAATTGTAATTCAAGTTGACGAATAAGTTCTTCATTTTCATTAATGGAAGCTTTTAATGTTTCTAATTCTTCTGTATGGTCAATATTTCGTTTTAAATTGTCATCGAAACCATTTGATTGTTGTTCATGAATATTCGTATGCATAAATCTGGATCGCGTTAATAATGAATCATCACTTTTCTTTTTCATATCACCACGATTTATATATTCATATTTCGCACCGATTGTATCACCTTCATGAATTTGTTGACTTAATTCTTTAGAAAACTTATGTGTGATCAATTGACCTGGAATCTAAAACCAAATTAATCAATGTTTATTAATAAATACTTAAACAAAAAAGACAAAAAAATAACAAACCAAATAACTCGACTCGCGTTGTTTTTCTATCCAACAAGATACTTGATTTTCATACATTAATGAATCAGCCAAACCTTGAAAATCAAC